TGAGACGAGCGTTCTGCCGTATGGCCGTGCTGCTCAGTGAGCAAAAGGGGGCTGCGTGCGGCTGGGCGGCGTGCTCACCAGGCCCGAAGCCGCTGATGCAGAGCTTGACGTTGGATGTGGGGCGCGAGACCTGCGGTGCAGCCAGCCAGAGCACAGCAGGGCTGTCGATTCCGCCGGCAGTGTCGCTGCGATCATCATGTCGCCCTGCCACGGGCGACCCAGCGCAGGCGGCAGTAATCAGCATGACAACGCCACTGGGCGCTGGCCGAATGAGGCCATTGAGGGGCCCCAGCCCACCTCTGGGGGGATGTAGACGATGTCTGCCTCGCGCGGGACGGCATACATGGGCACGTTGGCCCAGGGGCGCCACCTGCGGCCAGGAGAGGGCCGACAGAGGTGAGAGGCAACTACTAGTTGCCCCTTTCCTTTGAAATAACGAGGCAGCCCCAGTCGCCTACGCAGGCACACGCCCCCACTGGACCACCACCATGAACAACAACGCTGGTGCCGCTGCCACTGGATCCCCGGAAAAGCGGCCAGCCGCACCCGTCCAGCTGCTCCTTGTGGGCTCGGCTGGCGTTGACGGGGGTGAGGCGGAAGATGCCCACGTCGCTGCACGGCAGGCGCAGCAGCATGCAGCACGTGGCGCTCAATTGCCTGGCGACTGCTGACGGCCGGGCTGGCCAGGTGACAGGCGCTGCTGGCCGGGCTGCATTTTCTTAGCGGCATGCTGGGCAGCACAGGGGTGGAGGCTTGCGCAGGCTCACTGCAGGTTGACGGCGGCGGTGAACTGCTCGGAGTGCACCCCAAGATCCTGCAGCAGCGCCGTGGGGGCCGCAGGGCAGGCAGGGGTTGTCGATACCACAACTCAGTGAGAGGGTTGGCACCCGGAGAGGGCCAGCTGGCAGGCGAGAGCCGCCGGGGCAGCACTGCTGGCAGCCCACGCAGAGCGCTGCCCTCACCTGCCCGGCGTAGAGATCACGGACCATCATGGCATCGTTGCCCTGCAGCCCAATCAGCTCCCACCTGCAATCAGGACAAGACAGAGGGGGCTCGAGGCAGCGCGTGCCCGCTCATCTCCCTGGCGAGCCGCCGCCAGCTGCCTCTCTGGCACAGAGCAGGCACGCCAAGCTGTTTCCAGCATCGACACATCAGGCTGCGCAGCAGCAGCGCCATGGCAGGCTGCTGTACAGCAGCATTACTTCCATCTGCACTGCAGCAGCCCCCGCCAAACCGCCTCACCAAAAGGTCAAGGGCTCCGCGGCAAACTGCAGGGGCAGGGCATGGCGACCGGATGTGCAGGTTGTACAACCGATGTCACCACCATTGGAGGCAAAGGCATAGGCCGATTCCAGTCAAGTCGACGGCATGATTGTTTGAGGATGAGGAAACGTCGCCAAGCGCAGTAGGCAGCGACCCTGCTCACCTGGCTACCATTCATGGCTCTGCCGCCGGCGCAGGAGTAGGGTGCCAGTGGCAGTGCAGACAGGGCAGGGAGGCTAGTGAGGCATGTGTGCACAGATGGCTGGGCGGTGGCCTGTTCAGTGAACACGTTCCTCTCGCATCCTCGCGACAGGCACGCCGGGCACAACCCCCTGGCAGCTGTTCCCCGGCCACAGCTGAGCGCCTGCGCGGAGCCAGCCAGGCCCACCTGTTGAACAGCACCACCACGCGGTCGCCGCCCTGCAGCGGCCCCGCGAATACCTCGGCGGAGCCCTGCTTCCACACGCGCTCCGCGGCCACGCCCAGCGGGTCCTGCACGGCGTGCACGTGCGCGTGGAGGAGGCGGGAACAGCAAGGCACAACATTCAGGGTCGCTTGGCGTGAGATGAGGGGCCAGTTGGTCGAAGGCCCTGCCGCCGCCAGATTTGTGTTGTGACAGCACGGATGCAGCCCACCTGGTTGACGGCGATGATGTCTCGGTTCTTGAGGATGGCAAGCGACTCCGGGGAGATGGCCCTGGGAGGAAAGCATGGGAGGAAAGCATGGGAGGAAAGCATGGGCGCGCGCAATCAGTGGGTGAAGCACACACAACACCGACAGGCAGGCAGGCAGGCAGGCAGGAGGTCCCCCTGCAAGGCGGGCACCAAGCTGGTTGAAGCAGTGAGCACTGCGGCCAGCGCATCCGCCTCCAGCACAGCTCCAGCGGCTGCGCAGGAAAGCAGGCCCAGTCAAGCTCCAGCTGCCCACACTGCCTGCCCCCCCCACACCCGCCTGAGGTCTGTGCCGATGATGAGCGGCGACTTGACGGCGGCCCACAGCGCAAAGTGCGAGCGCTGGTCCTGCAGCGTCAGGGCGCCGCTTCCCACCTCCAGCATGTCTGCGGGGCGGTTGTGCCAGTGGCCGGGGGAATGGGTGGGATGCTTCAAGAAGACGATGGGCTGGCAGGCCAGTGGCCAGGCTGGCAGGCAGGGATACATATGCCCTCCGCTTGCTGCAGCAGGAGCTGCCCTGCCACCCGCACTGGGGCAGCCCTCACCTGGGTCGTTCCACCCGCCCGGAGCGGCAAACTGCGACAGGCCCACGTTGTCTGCAGGCGAGGGACGGACGACATGGTAGCGCCAGCACATGTCAGCCTCAGGGAAATGGATTGTGCAGCCAGGTACTGGCAGTGTGGCGCCAGCCTGCCTGGTTGGCAGCAAAACGACGATTGCGGCTGGAAATTTGTGCCACACACAACAGGTTTACTGCTGCCTGTACAACAGCCTTGCAACAGCCGCTGCCGCACAGCAACGTCAAGCTGCCAACAGCTCACTGTCCAGGTTAGAAAAGACTCGATCAAAGTTGGCAGCTATGTCTGCGGTGGTCCTCCAGCTGCGGGGCAGCGGCATGGCAGGGGCAGGGGCAGGAGCAGCAACGGCGGCAAAAGGGTGTTGGTTTGTGGGGTGGTTGTTATGCTGGTGGGTCTTTTGTTCGGGGATGAAGGGGCAGCCCCTCCTGAGACAACCCAGGCTGGCTGGCAGGGCAGCGTGATGACGGCAGCGCAGGCTGACGCTAGCGCTTGTGCTGCCGCACCTGTTGCCGACTTCCGCGCCCCATCGCCAGGGGTTGACGATGCCTGCGGGGGGCAAAGGCACGCAGGCGCGGGCAGCGCAGGCCGGGTCTTGTGTTGAACCGTCATCAGAGGGGTCTGGCAGGCGGCACGCCAGCTCACCCCAGTTGCAAATTGAGTAGTAAATCTCTCGCCCTGCACCAAGAGACACCAGCCGCCCAGCATGAGATGGTGCGGCCAGGGAGTGATGTTGTGTGTAGGGATCAGAACGCCAGCTTGCCTGTGGCGTTCAGCGCGTCCCTCATGCGGGCATACTGGTCCACAACCCAATCCTGCTGACGGATGAAGCAGTTGTCAAACTGCGGCGGCGCAGGGGAGGCGGGGCAGGGAGGCAACATGGAGGGTTTGCCTGCTGCGAAGAGGCACACGTGGTATGGCTGCATCAACCCCTCCCCTCTCCCTCTCTTTCCACCCGCCTTGAGGTAGTCCACCCCCCACTCCGCCCACGTCTCCGCGTCGTCCTCAAAGTGGCCATAGCTGCCCATGTGCCCGCCGCATGTCAGCGCCCCAGCATCTGAGTAGATGCCGAACTTGAGGCCTGGGCAGTCAGTAGAGGAATGCAAGAACACTCTCAGCAAGCGTGCGTGGGTTGAGCATGGCAGACCGCCCACTGAACCGCCGCGGCCAGCCGTCCAGGCTATGCGTCCGCCTGCGGTGCTTACCCATCTGCGCACCCACCAACCATGCATGCGCACGAGCCCAGACGCAACAGAAAACACACACACACACAGCTGGCCACCCACCCAGGCTGTGGACGTAGTCAGACAGGTTGGCGATGCCGCTGGGGAAGATGGTGAGGTTGGCCTGCGCAGGCAGGCACACAGCGCAGGCACATCCCAGGTGCAGAGCGCAGGCTCGGCCCAGCGCACGTACGGGCTCCCGGGCAAGCAGGTACAGGACAACGCTGCGCGGCATGGCAAGGTACTGGGCAGTAGTGCCGCAGGGCAGCAGGGCAGAGGGTAAGACGGTGGGGCGGGGCTGGCGCAGTACTGCACAGTACTGCGGCCGACCTGCATGCGGCCCTGCGCGTCGCGCGTCTTGTTAGGCCAGCCATCTGCGGAGGCAAGGGCAGGGCAGCGAGCCTTACCACTGGTGTGCCATGCAAGGCAAATGCGTGCTGGGGGGCAGGGCTGCGGAAGAGGCAGGCAGGCTGGCGCCACAGTCAAAGGAAGAGGCGGGTGGGAGGGTGGGGGAGATGAGCGGGCACGGCAGCGACAGCCTGGCTCACCATCAATCACCACGTACTCATAGCCCACATCGGCCAACCCAAGGTCCACAATTTGTTCGGAAGTCTGCAGGGTTTCAAGCAGGGAGACAGGCAGGGGGCTTTATCAGGGATAAGGGTTGGCGTGCCCTCGGCGAGCAGACCGGAGCGGCAGCATCAAACGCGTGGTGGCAGGACCAGAGCGTCGTAGTGAATTCACATGCTTCGAAGCACCTGGCGGATCAGCTCCTCCGTCACATTAAGACCAAACTGGTTCCAGGAGTTCCAGCCTGCAACGCATGCAGATGGGTCCAGCATCGATGCTGGGATATCCCAGGCGGGTGCCAGGAGTCGGCGGCGGCTGGTCCCTGTGGCGGCGGCGGTGGCCCGCGGCAGGCAAGCAGCGCTGGCATGCGTGCACCCTCAGGCAGCCTCCCCAGCCCCAAAACCTAGCCCCTGGGCGCATCTCCGGCTCACCCATGGCTGGAGTAAGGCCTACTCCGTTGTCCAAGGCCGCCGCCGCGCCGAGGGCCGCCGCCAGCAGCACCAGCCGGAGGCGCAGCATGCTGGGGCGTCAGGCCGAGGGCCGCGGGCAGGAGGGCTGCAAGGGGAGCAAAGATGGAAGTGCGTCACAGAGATCTCTGCCAGACCAAATGTGGCAGGTGCCGTGCTGCTGCCGCGGTCCCGCTGCCACCTGGACAAACGTTGCCACTTGTCCATTGGTCAAATCGCCTCTCACCTGGCGCCGCTTTCCGCCCTGCGGCAGCTCCACAACACTATCTCCAAGCATGCGCACTACCTTCAAGCAGTACCTTCAAGCAGTACCTTCAAGCACTACCTTGAGCTTGATACTGCAGCACATAGGGCCGCGGCTAAGAAAGGCCTTCTTTGAAGGCGCTGGAGCTAGTGTCTAAACCCTCCGAGAGGGCACAGGTTCGATTCCTCCCATGTCGAAACTTTGTGAGGACAAACGCGGCATAGCTGACCGGCTCAGCGCCAATCCAAGCCAATTCCTTCGGGAACGCCTATTAGAATCGCCAAGGCTTCGGCACAGGCCTCCCCGGGACCCATTCACTACTAGTGGGGGGTACTGCACTTGGCGCGTCGGGCAGATCAAATAATGGTCTAAAGCTAGACGTTAAAACCGGGAAGTTAAGCCTGTGGAGGCTCTTCCCCACCTTTACCTTTACCTTTAGCACAGCTGCTGCGGCCGCCACGCAGCTGCCCGACGGCGCACCGGTAGAGGCGCTGAGCTCACCGCTGCAAAGCCTTCTGCGCTGAAACTGCATCTTCTCCCACCCCTGCCACTGTTGAACACCTGGGTATCATGTAAAGGGCAATTAATTGTAAATGCGGTTTGTAATGTGTTTCAATGATCATGATCAGCAATCAGTATTATCAAATCAGCTGAGCTGGAGCGCAGCGTCGCGGGGTCGCCGGCCGGCCTCCAGGTGAGCTCACATGGCCAAGCAGCCATCTCCTGCAGGTGTGGCCGCTCTGGTGGCAGCTGGCCTGCCGACCGCAGGTTGCCTGCCCCTCACAGCGACAGTTCCAGCGAGATGCTGGCCTTGCCCCGCAAGGGGTCGTACGCCAGCAGCACCTCGGGCCGCTCCTCCACTGCCTTGGTGCGGAGCTTGCAGTACACCTCCTGGACAGGCAGGCGGCAGGGGAGATGCGCGTGCAGGTCGGGTATGTCAGGATGGCACATGGCGCACACCTGCCCTGTGATTCACCACCCGAGTTGTCTCAGCCCAGGCTGCCAACTGTGTGGCCCATCTCACCACAGTGTGCTCCTCCTGCATAATGACTGGGCCTGGATAGCGCTTGAGCTGGTTGAGCCCTCGCGCCTCCAGCCGGCGGCCGATCCTGCTCCCCACCGCTGCACACCATCCAAGCACACACAGCAGGGCGCTGGCCAGTACTCAGAGTGGCGTCAAGGCATCAACTACCTGGGACAGGCTTAAGCATGCTGGCACCCACCAAAGGCCTCCAAGCCGTGCTTCAGTTCCAGCTCCACCCCTGATGTGAGGACTGCATTGACCCGAAGCTCGCGCTCGCTCTGCGCAGGGTTCCAGGCCGAGTCCAGCAGCGGCACGTCCAGCCGCGCCATAGTGCTGTTGCGCAGGGTCAGCTTGCCTGCAGCAGCGGCGCCGAGGGCTGAGCAATCGCTGCCAGCCTGCGAGAGCCGAGGAACAGACAGTTGGGCGCCCGCTCACCGGCGCTCCGAGAGACATCGGTGAAGGCAGTGGTGCTGATGCCCAGCCGGTCGGGCGCCTCCTTTGCCAGCGGCCGCCGGCTGGCGTCCACTGGCAGCCCCATCAATGTCAGCCCCAACGCCCCGTCGCAGACAGCGACGGCGTCCCACCCCACCCCCATGTGGCCCCGCACACTGCCTGCAACAAGCAGAGGCTGAGCATGTGTCAAGACTGTGCATTTGAAACATTTGCCGGGCCAGCCCAACATAGCTGCTGAACTGCAATCAGCGCTTGCCTCCCAGGAATCCTGGAAGGCCATTCCCGTGGGCGTCACGCACGGCGAGCGTGCCGGCGTGCAGGCGCAGCTGGGTCGTGTCAGTGGAGAGGTCCCACTTGGTGTATGCCCATGGCGTAACCCTGCAGCCCACATGTGAGCCCTCGCCACACACTTTCAGGCTGCTGACGGTGAACCTGGAGCGAGGCATGGCGGTCTTGCGCCACCTGCACGACAGGTGGACATGGCTTGTGGGGCTGCGCGGCGCTCTGGCTGCGGCGGTAAACACCAGGGCAGGGCGCCGGCCGGTCTGCAGCGCTGCGCTGTGCTGCAGCGAGCAACACCTCACCCGATCCTTCCACCTCGAATGTAGCCTGAGAACAGGCACTCCGCACCTTTCAGCCTGCCTCGAGGCACCTCGGGCACGACTCAAGAGCCTGCCGTGTGATGATGTGCGCAGCGAGCGATTAGATGGTGTGCATGTAGCGAGGAGGTGGTGTGCGAGGAGCGCAAACTTGGAAATTACAGCTTTCCGAGATGGCCATGCCTCGCCCGCTGCGCACCGCTGGCGTAGCAGGCCCAGCAGCAGACGTGCCTCGATGACCTCGAGAAACTCGCCAAGAGTTAGCCGGCTTTGCTCAGTGGCGAATTGTGTCGCAATGGCACGCTGGTGGCACTTATTAGGCCCGCCGCTAGCGGCAGCGATCCTGGCATGGTGGTGCCCCTGGCGCTGGCCGGACGGTAAGTGTAATGTGCTGTCCACTGGGCTGCCGGCGCTCTCACTAACGCACACAATGCGGCTGTCTGCAGAGCAAGAGCAACTGCACAATGGCGGTGAAGGTAGCGAAGCCGGCGGCAGCGACTCCTCGGAAGACTCGGAGACTTCGGACGACGACACAGACGTGTACTTCGACGCAATGCCATGGCCACCAGGCTGCCTCATGCTGATCAACCTATCTCCCGGGGAAGTGGAGGCCGCGCTGCTTGCGGTGCTTGCGACGACGGCGTATTTGGGCCTGTGGCGGCGCTGGCTGGGCCCCATAGCAGCATCCGCATGGCGGCGGCGTTAGTCGCGGGATGCTGCACCTGACGCGCAACATCCATCACAGCATCCCTCACTCACCGGGCCCTGCAACGCCGAGGCGGTCCTGGTGGCGATTTGCAGCAGGACAGGCCGAGCCTTTGCCCCCTCACTCATTTGCCCGCTGCCGCGCCAACTTGCTCATGCTGCTCTGCTGCACACCTCTTCTTGCACAATTGCTGCATGCAAAACACGGCAGCACGACAGCAACACAGGCACCCGTTCTGCTCCCAGGCATTGCCTGCTCGCCAGGCGGGCCGTCCCTGATCAGCTTGCCAATGCGCCTCGAGGGTCGCAGATGCTCCCAGGTTGAGCCTGCATGGAGCCAGGACAGGCGGCACATCTCATCAGAGGGCAATCCAGAGCAGTGTGCAGTGTGAGTGAGCAGTTCCTCGTGCCTGCAGGCCGCAATCCTGGGAGGAAAGCAGCCAGGCCCCACGCACTTGACCTCCATCCAGCGGAGGACGAGGTCCTGAGCTGCGCCACCGCCATGGCGCTACCTTGCGCCTGCAAGCAGCAGTGCCGTGGCGCGACTCGTTTGCCAGCAGCAGGCGCCCGTGGCAACCCGTGGCCGCGAAGGCGCAGCGCACAAGTTGCCTGCCACGCACAAGCTGGCTGCCACTGGGTTGGCGGGCGGCAATCGCCGGCGGCATTGATGGCGGCGGCGCTGTCACACCGCTGCACCTGCCGAATCCTCCGTGCACCCTCTCACCCTGTGTTCTGCTGCAGTGCGTTGCAGCCCGAAACGTCACTGAAGTGATCAATGGTTTTGGCACAAGGGAGTGGAGAGGCAGCTGGGTTGCTGCTGCTGGCGTGCGAATGCATTCAACAGGTTAACAAGAGCAGTCTGGGCGCTTGTGGGTTACACTTGGGTGTACCTTCCAAACTGTTCTGCCTAGCACGAGGTCTATATGCACCTGCAGGCTGCTGCACAGTTCCCTTGCGCCACTGCCAGGCCCCGAGCGCTCCAACTTCGCGACGCGTCTGACCCCATTGCTCTCAAGCTTGCAGCCTCTCCCCGCCTTTTCAGCACTTGCGCAGCCGTCTGGCGCATCTACGCACCAGCATCCATCGCCCGCTGCTGCCGCCGGCCGACCCCTCCACCCGCCGCCCGCAGCTGGCGGCAGGCAGCGGCCAGCAAGGCGCCGCCAGCGCCCAGCGCTGCCCTCCGCCGCCCAACCATCCAGCAGCGTGAGGCAGCATTCCGAGGGTGGCGCGGTGGATGCAGAAGGTCCGCGTGAAGGTGGCTGGCGGCAGCCCGGCCCTGCTGCCCGTGTCGGTGGCGGCGGGGCGCCTGCATGGCGCCGACCTCTATCGCACCGCCTCCAGCGGCACGCCCAGCAAGTGGCGCAGGAGCAGCGTGGGGCCGCTGCGCCGCTCTGTGCAGCTGCTGGGCGCTGCCCTGCTGCTCCTGGTGTTGTATCAGGCGCTAGGCGGCGGCGGCCCCGTCTTGCAGCAGCCGGGGCGCCGCCAGCTGCAACCAGTGGAGCAGCAGCAGCAGGCGGCGCACGACCAGCGGCAGGCCGAGCACGACCAGCGGCAGGAGCTGCTGCACCAGCACCAGCAGGGGGACTCGCAGCTGGAGCAGCCAGGGCAGCAGCAGGAGCAGCGGGAGCAGCCGGGGCAGCAGCAGGCAGCGCGGCAGGCCGGCACGGGGCAGGCAACAGCAGTGGAGCAGCAGCAACCGCAGCAGCAGGCAACAAGTCTTGAGCAGCAGCAGCAGCAGCAGGTTGCTGAGCAGCAAGCCACACAGCAGCAGGCAACACTCGAGCAGCAGCAGCAGCAGCAAGCCACGCAGCAGCAAGCCGCGCAGCAGGAGCAACACGCTCTTGCCGAGCAGGCAGGGAGCCTGCAGGGCCTGGGCGCCCACCAGCCGCAGGCGGTGCGGGAGCAGCAGGCGGCGGTGCGACAAGGCCTGGAGCGGCAGCAGCAGCGGCAGCGCGCGGCGGCGGAGCGGTATGCCGGGCCGCTGCAGGCCCCGCCGCCCAAGGTCGCGCTCCTCTTCCTTGTCAGGGGCAACATGCCGCTCGAGGCGGTGTGGCGAGAGTTCTTTGCCACAGCGGGCCAGGTGGGACGGCCAGGCGGCAGCGGGGCCCCGCGGTGTACGCGGTGTGTCGGTTGTGGGGCGATCTGAGGACGCCGGCACTTGGCGGTGGCAGCCCGCTGGCGGCGGCCGGCCCGGCTGGCTGCCACTGATGCGCATCCCCCGCCACGCCGCGCCCGCAGATCGAGCCGGTGGCGCTCCCGCCGCCTTTCGGTGTGGAGGCGGCGGCCGCGCAGCAGCAGCAGCAGCAGCGGCAGCAGCGACGGCGGCGGCGGCGGCGGCTGGCTGCCGAGGCGGCTGGCGCCGGCGAGGCGCTCGCCTCCCTGCCCCAGGACGGCGCGGGCGTGCTGGCGGTCGGCGGCAAGGGCCGGCAGCTGCCTGACGACGTTAGGCAGGATCGCTGGGAGGGGGAGCAGCGGGCGCAAGCGGCGGACCAGCAGCAGCAGCAGGCACAGGGGGAGGGTGAGCAGCAGGCGTGGCCGCCGCTCACCGAGTTCCAGAAGCAGCAGGTGGAAGCCAACCAGCAGCTGGCCAAGGCGCTCGGTGGGTGGCCAGCGGCGGCGGCGGCGGCGCTTGCTCGTCCCATGTGCTGCTGCTGCTGCATGGCGTGTGCTCGCTGCCGCGGAGAGTTGCACCCGCCTCGCTGACACGCGTGCGCGCGCCTGGCCTGTGGTGCCGTGCCCCACCGCTGCCCCGGGGATGCAGGGGAGGGAGAGGTGGCGCAGCAGGCGCTGGAGGAGGCGAGGGCGGCGCAGACCATGGCGGCGCCGCGCAGCATGCTCAGCCCGGTACGCGGCGGCGCCAGCGATGGGGCGGCTGCGCGGCAAGCAGCTCTGGTGTCGCTTGTCGGGCGGCTGCCTCGGCGCCTGCTGCTGTGTCCCTCCCGTTTGCTTGCCCTCCTACAATAAGACTCCGTCCGCACAATCCCCCGACTCCTGTGGCGGCCTTCCTGCTGCCGCGCCTGCCGCGCCTGCCCCCGCAGGTGGACCCCTCTGGCGCCATTGCCACCCAGGACCTCTTCAGCGTCTACGTCCACACCCTGCCCGGCTTTTACTACCCCAACAGTGAGTCGCCGGCAGCAGTGGATGCTTCGGATGAAGCACCCTGTTGGATGTGATCAATCCCGCTGTGCGGCAGGACCTCGGGTCGCGGCGCGAAGCCTTGCGGCCGCTCGTGCTCCACACCGCCTGCTGCCTCCTACCTGCGATGTGCTTGCTGCACGCTCCCTGAGGCGCCTCCCCATCTCCTCCCCGCAGCCTCCATCTTCTCCGGCTACCAAATCGACCGGCGGGTGTATGTGCGGTGGGGGCAGTACACCGTGGTGAGTTCAGTGTGCAGGTGGTATATCGAGGTACTGCAGACGTAGTACGTGTTTCGGTGGCACTGCGCTGCGCCCCAATTGAACACGTGGCATGAGCAGCGGCGCAGATGGCAGACGCTCATGAGTGTGGTGCTGCCCTGCATGGCACGCCGCCTCCCACGCCGCAGGCGGAGGCGGAGCGGCGCCTTATCTGGGCCGCGCTGCAGGAGCCGCGCAACCAGCGCTTTGTGCTGGTCAGGCGAGTGGCGGCGCCTGACCGGGGCTGCAGACGCGGCAGCTGTGTGTGTTCGCATGTGCATTTTTGCCTGCCCCTGCTGCTGCTTGTTCTCGGAGCTCCCATCATTTGCTTTGCTTGTTAATGTGTGTGTGTGTGTGTGTGCAGCGAGACGTGCACCCCGCTCTACCCGCCCCACGTCTTCTACCTGCAACTGCTCAGCGAGACGAGGAGCCGCGTGAACGCGTGCGCCCCCGAGGACGGCAGCGTGGCGCACCGGTGTGTGGTGTGGTGTGGTGTGGTGTGTGTGTGTGTGTGTGTGTGCACTGCCTGTTTGCGCTACTGGTGTGACCCGATTGCGTCTACCCCTGCTCGCGCCATGTTTGGTGGCAGGTGGAACTCCGCGCTCTACATGCCAGGGGTGCTTGGGCCGCCACGCTGGCGCAAGAGCTCGCAGGTAGAAACCAGTAGACTGCACCAGGGTCGCCGGCCGCGCCCGGCGGGCCTTCTTGTGTGCCAGCCCCCATGTCGCGCACTTGCTCCCTGCCCTGCTGTCATGCCCGTGTGCACGAGTCCCAGCAGGCCTGGGTGCCGTGTGCGATTCCTCTTCACTCTGCTTCCTTCCTGTGCTTTCTTCCCGCGTGCGCAGTGGAAGGCGCTGGTGCGGCACCACGCCCAGCTGGTGGTGGCCGACCGCCACCTGGCGCCGCGCTTCGAGCGGGAGTGCTACTCATACCTGCCGCCCAAGTGAGGCCTGGGGGCGGGGCAGATTGATTTTTTGCGCCGCAGCTGGCGGCATGCACGGCGCCGCTGGCTGTTGCGCCTCGCCTTTGCCCATGCTCCCACCAGCCCGCTTTTGTTACAGCCGGGGCAGCCCTTCTTGGCCAACGAAGCAGGTCTGCTGCACTCCGCTTCCTTAACACACGTTGCTTTCTTGCCTGCAGGATACCGCAGCCGCCGTACGTGGCGGCGCAGAACCGCACCTGGGTGGAGCGCACCTGCGTGTCGGGTGAGTGGCCCGCCCTGTAGCTGCCCTGTAGCTGCCCCACACCTCCATGCTGCTGTACCACCGCCACGTAGCTGCTCGGCATCTGCACCAAATACCTGCATCACATTTTGTGCTGGCTGCAACCTTGCAGCTCTTGTCCTGTTGCTCTTGTCCTGCCTTCAAATGCCCGCATCGCCCCATCCCTGCCACGCCATCTGCTGCAGACGAACACTACATCCCAACGCTGCTGGCAGTGCACGGGCAGGACGCTCGGGCAGGCCGCCGCCGCATGCCCAGCCGCTCTCGTTGCCCGGCGCGGGCCGCTTGCCTGCCGATGCCGTTTCATGGGCATGCCCTGCTGTTGCCTTTGGGCGCACTCACGTTGCCAGCTTGAGCTTGGTCAGCGTCTGCGGGAAACTGTTCCTTGGCGCACCTGCTCAGCATGCGACAGCTGCCAGCCGATCCACCAGCTAACAGCCGATCCGCCTGTGCCATGCGGCCGCGTGCTGCGTGCTGCAGACCACGTGCGCCGACGCGCTGACCGCGGCAGACTGGGTGCAAGACCTGTGGTCGCCGCTGGTGCACTCGGCGGCCGAGGTGGATGCAGAGCTGGTCACGAGGTGGGCTGACTGGAGGTTGATCGCTTGACGAGTTGAAGGGTTGGATGGCTGATGGGGTGGTGGAGAAGGAAGGCGGTGGTGGGCAGCAGCAGGCGACGGTTCTGTGTGCCCTCCCAATTGCTGCCGCTGCGGCCGGCACCGCCGCGATGCCGCTGCTGCGCACGACCGTCCTGCGCTGCTGCGGTGCTGCTGCTGCTGCCCCTGCTGGCAGGCTGCGCAAGGAGCGGTGGTCGACGGTAGACTGCAAGGCAGCCGAGGCGGCCGCCTCGGCCGCCACCATGTTCCGCCGCCGCGGCGCGGCTGCCACCCTGGCGGGCAGGCCGATCGCGGGGCTGGGCGGCGGCGGCGGCGGCGGGCAGGAGCCGCAGGTGCAGGGGCAGCAGCAGGCGGCAGCGCAGCAGCATCGGCTGCTGCAGCAGGCGCAGGAGCAGCGGTATGTGCCGCTCGCCGACAAGTGCTACCTGCTCGCCCGCAAGTTCACTCCTGACTCTGTGCTGGTAGGTGGGGCAGTAAAGAGACCTCGACAATGGGCTTGCTGTGGATCCCACGCTGCTAGCATATCGTGTGTGCGGGCTTGCTGCACCCCACACCTCTGTTCAGTCTATTCAAACACGCATTGCCCCTCATTCAACGGCTTGAGGCACGCTTGCCCGCCCCCCAAATGCGTGCAGGCGCTGCTGGCCCTGGCGCGCGACTGCCGTGCCGGCACCGGCATCAGCGCAGAGTGCCTGCCGGGCCGGCAGCAAGCACGCTAGCTCCACCATGTCACCAGAATTGGTCTGATCCACATGTAACATAATTTTCAATTAAATTAGTGATGGAAAAGGATAAAGAAGCACTAAATGCAGCATCAAAGACAGCATCAAAACACTGCAGTTGCAGCACCGGCCCGAGCGGCTGCAGCTAACAACTGGACGCGTTCTGCCGCTGGCAGCTTCTCCACCACTTCCGGATGCACGCCGGCGGGCAGCGGCACGTCTTCCAGGCGCAGCGTGCGCAGGCGGGTGAGCGGCAGCAGGTGTTCCCAGCCGCCGCCCACCAAGCTGCGGTTGTAACCCAGGCTCAGCCACGTCAGGGCTGTCAGCGCAGACAGCTGGTCTGGCACAGCCGCCAGTCTACAGCGGATGAGCTCCAATTCCTGAAGCTGATGCAGGGCTGACAGAGGCTCCAGCCCCGAAAGATTGTCGTTGATGATTCGCAGGCTGGTCAGCGCAGCGAGGCTGGACAGCGCGCCTGGCAGGCGCCGGATGTAGCAATGGTCAAGAGTCAGTTCTTGCAGCTCAGCCGCCCAGCCCAGGTGCTGCCAGTCAACTGGCGCTGCTCCAGGTGGCGCGGTGCAGTGCAAATGAGTGAGCGCCGTCAGCGAGGGCAGCGCTGCTGCCACGTCTGCACCGCCGCCGGTGTTGACTAGCCTCAAGCGCTGCAGCCGGCCCAGCGGCTGCAGGTGCTGGTAGCAGACAGCGTCCCCCGCAGGTAAGGGCGGCGAAACGTTGTCGGATGTTTCAAGCTCCAGCTTCAGGAAAGTCAAACACGTAAGGGCAGACAGGGAGGCTGATAGATCTTGGTACGGGCGTCGACCGTTATGCATGATCATCCCCCTGCGATCCAAGTAGAGCTCCAAATGCTGCAGCTGGCGCAGGGCTGCCATCCCACGCCAGCTGCCGTCGCAGCGCCAGTAGCCCAGCCGCAGCCGCCGCAGCGCGGTGAGCTGCCACAGGCTGGCCACATCGCCTGTTGCCGCAAAACCGCAGTACATAGGCAGCTCCAGGAATGTCAGCTGTACCAGGTGGGCCACGGCGTGGAGCGGGAGTCCTGCTGCCCTGCCACCATGGTCCTGCTGGCCAGCGGCAGTCAGCGAAACTACCAGTTCGGCTGGCAGAGCCGATAGGCAGGCGCACGTCTCCTTCACGCCGACATGTTGCATCTTTGTCAGCTTGATGTGTGCACGAGCTGCAGCAGCAGGGCCGGAGGTTGGTGCAGCCTCCCGGCGGGAGGCTGGGTCTCGGCAGCCAAGCACCTTACCGCTATGCTGGCGCAGCCAGGTGGCCAGCGCCGCCCCAGCTGCCCCGGTGAGCTTCACCACCACAGTGGCTTGAGCAAACCATGCAGGGCTGGCATGCCTCAGGGCGCTGCAGGTGGCGCGCAGTCGCAGCCTGCGACATGATGGGAGCGGAGCAAGCAGCCCATCGGCTCAGTTCACATGGGCGGGCAGCGGGGGTAAGAGCCCACACGGGGGGGCAGCAGCGCTTGGATGGGCTGCCAGATCGCTTGCTGCCTACTTGCTGCCCCGCAACTCCCTTTCTCAGCTCACTTGTCGAGCAGCGTGAGGTGGCCGAGGATCAGCTGCTGCACCAGGCCGGGCGTGCCGAGGACCGCCGGCGCCATCGCCGCCGTGGCGAGGGTGCCGTCGGTGGCGGCTGAGGCGGCATCGCCTGTTGCCGGCCCGCTCCCCTGCAAGAGTGATGGAGCGATGTGGCGGTTGTTCCAGCAGCAGCTCGTGGCTGCAGAGCATGCAGCCTCGGACGGCTCGAGCAGAGCAGCCAACCCTCCCGCTGCCCACTCACCTGCAGGGCACGCAGCAGCTGCTTCTGGAAGTTGATGAACTGAGACCAGATCAGGGGCAAGTCGTCTATGGCGACATGGACCATCATGCTTGCCGTTAGTACACAAGCAAAGCAATTCGAGTGTGATGGGCACGAGAGCAATGAGAGCAGGCTACATATTATATGACAGAAGGCCCCCGCCGCCGTGCACGCTGCGTGCGCCGGCGCCGAGGCGGCGCCAGGCGGATTGCCGTGCCCGCTCGACTCCCCCCAACTTGTGCTGCTCCCAAGTGGCAGTCAGCCGAGTGCCATGAAGACAGGTAGCGAAAGGCAGACGCGCCGCATGCCAGCGTGTTGCCCGTGCAACCGCTAAAGCACCGGCAGCCGTCTTGGTGACGCCGCTGATCCATACAACCCCAGGGCCCCCGCCCTGCTGGATGCGCTGATGTTGCAAGAGAGCAGGCCAGCACCACCCCTGCAGATGGCACTCAGCAGCAACATGTTGCAGTGCCGCTGGTCAGCTTTCCCAGTACTATGGTGCCAAGCTGCTGCTCGCCCAACAAAGCAACTGCACATCATTTACATCTATGCGGCGCTTCTGTGCAGAATCATCAGCGGGCGCCAAAACCAAACAAGGGTGCAAGCCAGTTAAACCTTAATTAATTAATTAATCGGGCACCAGCCGTTCGCGATACCTTCCGAAGTCTGAGTCAGCAGCGGTGCACGTTGGCGCATGACGCTCCACCACCTGAACCTGGGCTGTGATACTCAGCAAAGAATCTTCAGCGGGTTCAGATCCTGCAGCGCAGCCACCTCTGGAGGTATGCCATCTGGCCGCGGCACACTCCACAGGGTCAGCGTGCGCAGGCGGGTGAGAGGTAGCAGGTGTTCCCAGCCGCCGCCCGTCAAATCGCGGTTTTGCGCCAGGCCCAGCCACGTCAGGGCTGTCAGCACAGACAGCTGCTCGGGCACTGCCCCCAGCCTACAGTTTTCAAGCTCCAGATGTCGAAGCTGTTGCAGGGCTGACAGCGGCTCCAGCCCCGAAAGATTGTCGTTGATGATTCGCAGGCGGGTCAGCGCCGTCAGGTGTGGCAGCACCTCTGGCAGCCGATGAATGCTGCAGCTGTACAAGGACAGTGTTTCCAGCCCTGTCAGCCGATGCAGGCTTTGCCAGCCGCCAACTGCCTCATTGGCGAAGTTGATGTTGTAGCACGAGAGTCTCGTCAGCGCTGGCAGCTCTGGTAGCTCCGCTGCCACGTCTGCGCTGTTAGCGATGCCACTCAGTATCAAATTTTGCAGTCTTGGTAGTGCACTTAAATGATGCCACCCGCCCACCAGATCTCGGTTGTTTTCCAGGTGAAGATGACGAAGGCGCGTCAGAGCCGACAGGTGCGCTGGCACTGCGGTTAACCCGCAACTGTCCAGCTCCAGGTGTTCCAGCTGCAGCAGGGCAGACAGTGGTGCTAGTGCGGAAGCTTCGTGGTTGCTAATTAGCTCCAGGTGGGTCAGCGCCGTAAGATTTGATGCCGCGTCTGGCAGCTGCTGAAGGCGGCAATGGTCCAGGGTGAGCCGCTTAAGGGCCGTCAGCCCGCAGAGCGTCCGCCAGTTGCCTTGTGCCACTTCGGGAGAAATTGCGCTGCAGGAGAGAAAGGTGAGCTGCTGCAGCGCCGGCAGCGCTGCTGTCACATCTGAGCTGCCTGCGGTATATGTTAGCCACAGGTGCTGGAGTCTTCGCAGCGGCTTCAGGTGCTGGGCACGGATGGCGTCGCTAACAGGCAAGGGGTATGGGGAGTGGAGGCGCAGTGAAGTCAGAGCCGTCAGGGTGGAGAGGGCGGGCGACAGGTGTTGGTAGGTGACACCAGGTGGTCTGCTGCCATAAAAGCATATGCTCAGATTTTGCAGCCGGGTCAGGGATGCCATGCCATGCCAGCTGCCAGTGCAGCGGTAGCAATCCAGCTTGAGATGATGCTGCACAGAGCCGTGTCGTGTTTCAGACGTCAGTGAAGCGTCCAGGCGAGCTTGATGTAGGCTGCGGTGGCGGACGCGAGCACAAATGCCGTTTTGGCAGAAGCTTTGCAGGTAACAAAAACATAAGTGCAAAGGTAGAGTGTCCACATCCAGCGTGACGGTCGCTTTGGCTGCAGCAAGGAGGTGCATTTTCCTGATTTGCAGCTCTGCAGCAGGCTGGGCAGCCTGTCCTTTTTGGTAGGCGGCGCAGCAAAGGTGGCAGAGGAACTAGTAGCATCGCGAGGCGGCCAGCCAGCACTGCACTCACGCTGGCGCTTCTCCAGGCAGCCAGGCAGCCAGCGATGCTGCGCCTATCATGGAGGGCCTCCCTACCGTGACAGGCTGCCCAAACCATGCCAGGCTGTCCTGCTGCAGGGTAGTGCAGTTGGCTCCCAGGTTCAGCCTGCAGGAGAGGAGAGCAGTTTTTCTTATTGTGTTTACTGCAAGCAAGTATCCCTGGCCGGTGAGCAGCCGCAGCAGGGGCAGGCCCACGACGGTGGCAGCTGGCAGAGCCTTAAGCCAGATGCATCACAGAACCGTCAGCAGCACATTCCCCTCTTCTCAGCTCACTTGTCACGCAGTGTCAGGTGGCTCAGAATCAGCTGCTGCACCAGGCCGGGCGCGCCGATGACCACCGGCGCCAGTGCAACCGCCGCTGTGGTAATGGCAGCTGCAGGGCAGGGCATTTCCATACTTTGACACGTAGCCTACCCCAGCTGAGAAAGGATTGCAAGATTGCGCTAGCGGAAGGGTTTGACAACCCAGCAGCGAAAACACTGTGTGGGCAGGCTGGAGCGCAGGCAAGGTTGGCAGGTTGTTTGCACCATGGTCAGGAGGGAAGTCGTTGGCAGCATCTGCAGGTGACATATATGCAAAAGGATGGCAGCAGTGGGTGGTATGTGGGGAGTGGCATGTGGAGGCACGCGCAGGGTGGCGGGGTGGAGACAGCAGGAACAGCTTTGCAGCACACGCAGGTTGCCCACACCCTTCCGCACCAGCACAAGCTTCAGCAGTTGGGGAGTTGGTGGTGCATGTGTAAAACAGCTCCTCGCTGCCGCTGCTGCTGGTTCTGGGGCTGCTCTGCCCTAACACAGCTGCCAAAGCGGGGGCGTTGGCGGCAGCCGCGAGGGGAATCTCGCCGCTTCCGCCACCGCCGCCGCCGCCGCCGGCCTGCTGGGCGGCACTGGCGGCGGCAGGGGCTGGCGGCCCCTCGCTGCTGCTTGCTCCAACTGGCCCTGCCTGCAGCACCCAGCGGAAACATCAGTACTGCGTGTCCCGGTGGGCACCCCCGAGGCTGGCGGGCCCTCGAGGGTTGGTGCGGACAAAGCAGGGGCGCAGGCGAGATTCACAACGGCTTTTGCGTGCCAAGATGATCACCCCACGATGCACACTCACTCGCTCGCGCCTCTGGCGGGACGTAGCCCAGGCGAAGGCCAGCAGGGCGAGCATTGCTTCAGCACAACGTGATGACAACAACAGGGCAGCTGGATGAAAGCAAGGCGCAGTGCAAAGGCTCGTCAGAACGCCGGGAGGGACGGTCGGCGTACTGCTATGCCTAGTCACCTCCCAACGCCTACGGTTCGCAGCGCAGCCCAACCCTCCGCCGGACCCAATGCGTGCCGCCGGCTGTGCGCTGCCCCTTGCAGGCAACCGTGACGCTGCCCCTACCCTTCCGCCGTGTCCGGGCAGTGTTACACCATATACGCATATGCATGCAGCCTGGCATGTGAGCGACCGCGCCGCCAGCATCAACGAGGCGGCACTTTTGCTTTAGCGACAGAGCTTTAAGAGCTTTAGGCAAGTCAGGGTCGGCAGCTCAGACAGCTCAGGAGGCACGCCACCGGGCAGCAGCAACCCCGTCAGGTCCAGGTTGCGCAGGCACACGAGCGGGCGCAGGTGCTGCCAGCCGCCGGCCAGGTTGATGTTGCCTTCCAGGTCGAGCTGCGTCTGGGCTGTCAGTGCCGACAGCTGCCCCGGCACTGCCATCAGCCCACACCAACTGAGGTCCAGGCATTGAAGCTGGTGTCGGGCAGCCAGCGGCGCCAGCGCCGACAAATCCTGCCCTCCGGCAGCGCGCCCTAAACTGCTGTTCCCGGCCAGCCTCAACTGAGTCAGTGCTGCCGGGGCCAAAAGCTCTGGCACTGCCATCAGCCCACACCAGCTGAGGTCCAGGCATTGGAGCTGCTGCAGGTCAGCCAGCGGCGCCAGAGCCACTGGATTCTGCCCGGCGCCCAGAACATTTTTATTGCCGGCCAGGCTGAGGTTGGTCAACGCTGTCATTGCTGACAGCTGCCCGGACAGGGCTGCCACAGGACAGCCCACACCAGCTGGCCTCCAGGTGCTGAAGCCGCCGCGCCGTCGGCAGCAGCGCCACCACAGATTGGCTTTCTTCGTGTCTGACGTGCAGGCTGGTCAGCAGCGCCAGCCGCGACAAAAGCGCTGGCAGCTGCTGTGTGCCGCAACTGTCGAGGGACAGTTCCCGCAGCCTGTCAGGATGCTCAGCTGCTGCCAGTCGACAGGTCCTGGGACAGGCATCCCAACTGCATCCTGCAAAGGCTTGCAGCACAGGTGGGTGAGCGCGGTGAGCGCCGTGAGCGCCGCTGCCACATCTACGCTGGTGGCGACTAAGATGAGGCTCAGGTCAGGGTTGGCCCTGGCTGCGTTGCAATGGGTGTCACCACCACAACAGCCTCCGGAAACCACCCCAGGCTGGCCTGCTGCAAGGTGGCGCAGGTGGCCCCCAGGTTCAGCCTGCATAAGGGAGGCATGGAACTCCCTGCTCAGTGATTGGCAGCAGCCTGCCGAGCAGCACTGCCGGACTGAGCCCCAAAGGCTGCCAGCAAAAGAACCAACTTGGATTGAATCAGTAGAGCGGCAGCATGGCAAGCCAAAGCAGCGGCTGTCCATCTGCCTGGCATCTGCTGATGCACAACAGACGCCACACTGCCATTTTCCCAGCTCACTTGTCCCGCAACGTGAGGTGGCCCAGGATCAGCTGCTGCACCAGGCCGGGTCTGCCGAGGACCGCCGGCGCCAGCACAACCGCTGCCGCAGTAGCATCTGCACGGCTGGGCATTTCCTGACACGTGTTTCACCATCTAGCCTCCCCCACTGAGAGGATGTTGGGCTGCACTTGAGACAGGGTTTGACAGCCCAGCAGGTGCCACGTGGCGCACATCAACCCGCGCACAGGGCAGGTTGGCACGTTGGTGGCGCACCACCGGCCCCGGGCTGCCGGGCAGGCGTAGAGTCGTCGAGGGGAGGGTCCTCGCTGCTTCTGGTGCTGCTGCTGCTACCACCGCTGCCTGCAGCTGCCGGCGCGTCTGTGGCCGCAGCTACAGAGCTGGGGGCAGCAGCAGCAAGGCCAAATATTCGTCGCTGGCGCTGGCGCTGCCGCTGCCGCCGCTACCTACCTGCAGCGTCTGCGGCATCCAGGTGCCTGGTGTCGGGGAGGTGGGCGACGCTCACCCGCAGCTCGCCGCAATTATGCAGCCAGCAGCTAGCAACCGGAATGGCAGCGGCTACATTAAGGCCTCGAGAGCAAAGGGAAGCCTTCAGGCAGCAGCATGGCCTGGGATGGCCCGTGCTGACGGACGCATGCGATCGAATAGACTGTGCAATGGATTCTCTGTCCAGTGTTTCTGGCCCTCGTGGCAGCTTTGGCGATGGGCGGGCGATGAGGACTGCTGTCG